AAATTCACTAACTTCGTGTGGATTTTAAATCGTATTGTCATGTAGCTACCTTGATTGCCAATCCTACCCCTAGTACAAAGTGGTACTCATCCTCTCAGCTCGAACTACGTGGAACTGCCATCCTTGTCTCTATACATATGTATATAAATTTAATTTGACCATTTTGGCCATAAAAAATATTGTAATTCGTGAAGGTCATGAGTTTCACTTATAGATGATTACCACGTTAACGTATATATAACCTTCAATGTACTGAGATCCTTAATTCAAATATCTTTTATTTATAAAATAAACAAATAAATAAAATCTAAATGAATCAATTCACTGCAGTCAAATTAATTGAGTGGGTAATAATTAACCTGGTAATTTAGTGCTCCTGCAGGACTTAGAATTTACATAATCCTAATTTCTATTTACAGGATAAAAATTAGTTTGGAAGCCGTTAAGACCTTTGAGTTTTGCAAAAGCTCTCGGCATGGAGCTTGAGTTTCTCGGGATATTAAGCAACTAAACAGCTATATATACATATATATATATATATATATATACAACTTATTTTACTAAGCTTTATAATTAGTTAACGAGATTATGGTTCAAGTAATCCTCTGATGAAAAGTTTCATTTATTTGATTCCCCGTAGGGTTGGTTATAGATTTTGACATTTCTCAGCAGCATGGTATTGATTGTCAATAACTTTTTTTTTTGGGGGGGTTAATAACTGTTATATTAGTTTATATTAAAGTGGTGTACATACTTACATAGGAGACGCGGTTTTATGTAATGTTGCACGCTTCACGTACGTATGATAGAATTTTCCTAAACTCATAGTCTCATACACTAATTAAAAGAAACTAACGACATAATACGCGCGCGCTTACAAACAATTTATTTTCATTATCCTTTTTGCATATATCGATTTCCTCAAGTTTTTAGTCACTCGAATTACGCACTTGGGATCCATGTTGACTTTATTATATAAATTCATTTTTGTAAACTTTGACTTTCAGATGAATCTCAACATCGTATTTCATAATTTTTTTTTATTCAATCTCGTATTATAAGGTGCGCAAATCATGAGGAGATATTAATTCCATCTGTTGGGGAATGTTAAAAGTCGAATCACTAAACAAATCAAACCCGGCCAAAAGTCAAAACAAATCACACTCTTAAAAAAGAAAAAAAAAATGAAGCTCACTGTTGTCGTATTAGAAAAAACATTTATTTTCTTATAGACTATCGTGAATTTTTTATTTCATTTTATTTTGGTTTGTTTTGGAAGTGGGACTTGTGCATATATTGGATTTTGTTAAATGCTCCAGACGACAGATTTTCAGATCTATTGTGAGTTTTGTCGGGAAAAAAGAAAAAGAAAATCAACATTTTCTATGAATTAGCTTTTTAATATATTTTTTTCACTCAAAAGTTTGTTACAATGCAAGGATAATATTGGTAATATATATATATATATATATATATATATATATAATTTGTTTACGGTGCCGTCTAGTGCCATTGATGAGACGATCCACTATCGTAACATGTAAATATAAAAGTAAAAATTATGTATCATAATATTTATTTCACATAACACTAACATTAAAAATGTTAGAGGCACTATTATAATTAATTATATTGATATTACAATAGTTTGAAGTAGTTAAATTTGTTGTTAAATGACGGAAGTAAAATGAAACATGTTAGTTTAACAATCCATCCTAAAAGCTTAAGTTATTAGGAGGTAGGCCAATAATAGTTTTATACTTTAACACTTCCCTTCACGTGTGGGCAGAACAATGGACAATCGTGTGAGTAAATTAATTAGAAAGCCCAACACGTGAATATTTAAGCTCGAGATATATTAAAGACCCAACACATGATGACAATTTAAATGGGGATAAAGAGTGCAATTATGGAGGTTTGAACTCAGAACCTCCCGCTCTGATACCATGTTAGTTTAACAATCCATCCCAAAAGCTTAAGCTCTTAATAGGTGGGCCAACAATAGTTTTATACTTTAACAAAACAATAGTATGAAATAGTTAAATTTCTTATTATTTTCTAATATTGATATTACGTTTAATAAATGTCATGTTATGTTAAATAATATTTGTATTACATTAAATAAATTTTATGGTTATGTTTTTACTTCTATATGTTATCATGGTGGAACTCTCTCAGTGGTGAGACCGTAGACAATTTCTATTTATTTATATATATTTTTTGTGGCTGCAGTAATTTTCTTTATTTTTAGACATGCAGCAATTTTAATTTACATGCAAAATGCAACCTGCGCACACTGAAAACCTATAGTATACTTTTACAAGATTTTCTCTCTCTCTCTCTGTTTTTTTTTTTTTTTTTTGGGTAATTTTTCTGTGTTCAACATCTCTTTAGCATTAACTACAGTGCACAGAGAAGAAACTATATTCAAATACAGAATACAGCACAATATATACCTCGTAACTTTCCTATATTGATCAATTTGATATTCCCAGATTCCAAGACTCTAGATTTTCTCCATAATCCACATTAAATCGTGCATCATATATCAGATTATCAGGAGGAAAAAAAATCTTTCAAGATCAGTATTGTCTCGATACTGACTCCTTATAATTAAGCGTCTTGTTGACTGATCTTAAGGATTTTTCTGCAAGTTGGTATGCAACTTGCATTCTTTCATAATCTTTATAGTGAACAGTAATATTCCTTTGGAAAGTTATATTCCAATCTGAGCTACATATATTGTACCCTAGTACTATCTAGTTCGCCATTAGCCATTAATACTTGTGAGGAATTAACAATTCCACTATGTAATAAACAGTTCATATATATATATATATATCAGTTCATATAGATATATATATATATATATGAACACATAATAATTAAGGTAAATGCATGTGCATGAGACCGGGTCGCTTCTGTGTGCAGCCGGCCATTTTTACCGGCCACCCTTCTAATGTGTTAGAACGCAGCCAATTAAGACAGCTAAATAGTTGTTGCAATGTTAACTGCCGACACATACACAATTATATATAGAAGTCAATATATATATATATATATATAATGTTAATTGATGACTTTTTCATTGTACTTGTTATGGTGACATCTAATGACAATGTTTTACTGCTACAATGACATTGAAAATTAACTCTCATTTGTGTTCATATTTAATGCCGTTGGTCATAATATTAAGAATATTTTTTTTGCTAATCCATAATAAGAATATTTATATGCGGTCCTATATATTCGATTGTGGTTGCCTAATAAATATGTGCTTAGAGTTTTAGACATTATTTTTTTTTTGGCTAAATCTTAGACATAATTTAATACCGCCCATTGATGGAGACGTAAATTTGTTATAGTTTTTCGTGTTTAATGGTACTAGATCCATGAGCATGTAAATTGCAACTAATTAAATAGTGGAAGATTTGTAAATAAGTAAGGACTTGTTTTTTTTAGAGTAAAACTAAAAAAAAGTTTGAACTCAAGTTAAAATTTTATTTAAGTTCATGTTCCTTTGTAAAATTTGAGTTTGAATTTGAGTTTTAACTCAAGTTTTAACTTGAGTTTGAGGTTAAAATCTGAGTTCAAGTTTTCCCTTCAACTCAAGTTCTTAAACTCAAACTCAAGTTAATAAACAATATTTTTTTCTATTCTTAAAAACGTCATAATTTTTTCGTTTTTTTTTCAATTGAGATAATTTTTTTTCTATGCGTTCACAACGAATAGACGAATAAAATCTCACCTATATACTCTATTAAAATTTTTCATCACTATTGAGTTTTTATTAAAATACTATCTAAATATAAATTACAATTCAAGTTATAACTTTAATTTTAAATTATAACTCAAATTCAACTAGAGATCGACACTTAAATTTTCCTAACTCAAAAATACAATCGAAAAAGATGTAAGTAGTTTATTACAAAAAAAAAAAAAAAAAAATCCAAATATGATACTACAAGTCTTCAACGGTATAAAAATTAAAGTGATTTCCCATTACTATTAGCTTTCATGCTTTTCGAGACAGAAAGCACCGCAAAAGCAACTGGAGACTACCCCATTTAAAATGAAGTAATGCGTCATTAACATTTTTTTTATTAAAAAAAAATCAACTTATAACTTATAAGGCCTAATTTCTGTTACTACTAATTTGAGGCATGTGTCTGCTTTTTCAGGGAGAAAAAAAAAAAAAAAGAGAGAGAGAAGATGAAGAAGAAGCAGATCTGGATGCGTTAGTAAAGTTTCTATTTTTGCTTCTCTTTAATCGTAAAAGCTATAAGTGGAAAGTGCAAGTTGTTAAAAATAAATAAGAGTACTATTTTGCAAAAGTAGCTTTAACGAGGATATAAAGTATTTGTTTATTTCTATTTAAAAAAATAGTGATTTATTTGTTTGGTAAAATAGTAATTATTTATTTATGCATACTAGGAAAAACATTAATTTACACTTTAAAAAAAAAAAAGTGACTTACATATCTAAACGATCTTTATATTGAATCTAACTCACACTTCACATTCTGTTTAATTCTGTCAACGTGCGTTTCCACATCAGCTTTTTGGCAAAAAAAAGGAGGAAAAAAATCGAAGGAAAAGAACAGGGCGACACTGACGTGTACCATACAAACATGTTAATCGTTTGATATTTAACTTTGATTTAAACCTCTACTGATTTTTTGGGTGTTTTAGCGGTTGGTTTGTCTAGATTTGGATAATAGGTTTTATTAGTTTTCCTTTCGAGTTTATAGCTAAATTTAGGGCAATATCTATAAAGTATGAGGTTCCATGCAATTCTTTCTATTGAATTACAAAGCCAAAAGAGAAAAATAAAAATGCAAACAATCCTAAAGTAAAGGAATTATAGCCTTAGATTTCGTTGTATTTTGAGTGCAAAAAAAAAACAAAAAACAAAAAACGGTGGTTAGTACTTCCCATGAGTTTTTGTACTTCCCATAATATTCAACATTTTACACATTTGACATTGAATATCATTAGAAGTACCTACCTAAAAAGACCTGAATGTATATTAAATATAAGTGGAGCCTCTCCCTGAGAACAACAAATCCCAACCACCAAGGTTTTTTTTTTTTGTTTTTTTGTTTTTTTTGTTTTTGAAAAAAAAAAAGAAAAAGAGATAAAAAGAAGAAATAAACCTCCTCTTCCTTACTCTGTCTCTAGCTACTTTCTTTATACACCTTATAATAAATCAAGAAGAAGAAGAAGAAGAAGAAGAAAGAAAAAAACCCATTAAATTAATTGATTAAACGGGTGAATTGTTATCGCAATCTAAATCACCAAATTTACTGTATAAACAACAACAATCATCTCCCTTGACTTCAGCCTTCTCGTTTTCGCTGTCATCATGATCATCATGATCATGATTATCGTGATGATGAACAACTGAATATGCTCCAGTGAGGACCAAAGCTCTCTTAGCCTCCGAGTCCCAATCAGTGAGGCCCAAAACCACCAACATGGTCAAAGCACAACACCACTGCGCCGCCAACAGACCGAGCCAAAGCCCCTTGAAATCAAACCCCAAAAAGTAAGCCAAGACCAAAGCCACAGGCATTCCCACCATGTAGAAACACCCCAAATTTATATTGGCCCCCACTTTAGGCCTGGCCGTGCCTCTCAAAACCCCGCAGCCCGTCGTCTGCGGGCAGTTCCCGAGCTCGCAAAGCCCGATTATCGGCAAAACCATCGACGTCAACGACACGATCTCCTTATCTTGTGTAAACATTTTGGCCCACACGTTTCTAACCATGACCGAGAAAACCAGCGCCAAAAGTCCCAAAATTGCGCTGCAAAGGAGTCCCACGTGGGCTGCGTACCGCGCACGTTTGGGTTTATTAGCCCCAAGCTCGTTGCCGACTCTTGTAGAGACGCTGAAGCTTAGAGAAGAAGGGAATATGTAGATTAAAGCGGTGGTTTGGATTAGGATTCCCATAGAAGCGACGGTGGCTCTGGGGTTTATGAGAAGACCGCAGAGAAGAATCATAATCTCGTACCACCACCATTCCAGGCAAACAGAAATGCAGCTGGGAATGGCCAAGCCCAACAGAGTTCTCCACTGCTTAAAACAATCGGTGGAAATGCCCGGCCATGTGTTCTTGTGGACGCCGGAGATGAGGATGTAGAGGATTAAGGAAGCTACGAGGTTGAAGTTGGTGAGGACCCCACTGAGGGCGACGCCTCGGATGCCGAAATTGAGGTGAGAGACGAGGAGGTAATTGATTGGTATGTGGAGGAGGATAGAGAGAGTTGCGCAGTAAGTGAGGGGCAGAGTAATGGATTGTGTTCGGAGGTAGATTCGGAGAGGGTGGAGAAGGGACTGGGCGAGGAGGTCGGGGAGAGAGAAGAGGAGATAGGATTGGGCTTGGGTGGCGATGGCGTCGTCTTGGCCACAGAGGAGGAGGATCTTCTTCATGTTGAGCCAGAGGAGAGAGATTGGGATTGAAGCTAAGGTTAGGAGGAGGACTGTTCTTTGTAAGGAGAGGCCGAGGAGGGTGTTCTTTTTGGCGCCGAATGCTTGGCCGCAGATGGGCTCCATTCCCATAGCGAGCCCCGAGAGGATGGAGTAGCCGGTGATGTTGGCGAAGCCGACCGCCAGGGAGCCGCCCGCTAAGGCGAGCTCGCCGAGGCGGCCGAGGAACAGCATGGAGATCATGGAGCGGGAGTAGAGTAAAAGACCGGTTAGTATCATGGGGAGAGCTATTTGGGATATGGCGTTGGCCTCTTTCAAGAAGTTGGGTTTTTGGGATTCTTGTGTTGTTGGGATTGTTATAACTAGCTCTTCGTTTTTGTTGTCGTCTTGTTTGTTTGTTGAGAGGAGGTGATCGTCGTTTGGCGATGACGAATCGCATTTGCTGAGGAGAGGAGACGAGAGCTTACACATTGTGTTGTGTTGTGAAAAATAATAAGAAAAGAATAATAAGAAGATGAATTTGTATGTGCAAAGTTAGTGAGAGACAGAGAGGGAATTGTGAGTTAGTTGGGGGGTTTTAGAAGAGGTGATTGAAGGGCTTTTATAGGGATCTCTTGTGGGGCGATGCCTTGGAGTTTTTATAATCAACTTTTTGTAACTACTTTAGTGGATTATTATTCCCATAAGCTATTTGGGGTTGGCTGTTAGATATTAGAATTAAGAGTAAGAACTAAGATATATATATATATATATATGCGATTATTCAACGCGTTATAATAGAGTGCAACATTAAAAAAAAAAAAAAAAAAAAAAGGATAGCTGTATTTTAGCTTTGATGTAAGGATGTACAGTGAAGTACTAGCGGGGGGGTTATAAATAAGAGTCAAAAGGTTTTGAGTATTCTCGTTAAGAAGGGGTGATAGGGGCGATGGAGACTCTGTCAATAGAAAAAGAGACAAAATACGTTTTTGGACGGTTATATATAATGGGCTGAATTAAGAGTGGCTCCAAAGGCCCGTCATGGCCCATGAACGGTTGTCTTTGGTAAAATGGAACGTGCATAAATGACAAGCGAGGAGATCGAGTTCATGGAGATTAATGTAACATCCCCAATTTTGCCGACTTCAAAAAGTTGTCGTGTTTCTTTAGACGGCTTAAATTGCATCAGTTGAAGGTGTTTTTTTTTTTTTAATTAAAAAAAAAAAAAAAAAAAAAAAAAAACGAAACAGTTTTCTGTCTTATGGGTCGGTCCAAAGAAGGCCAACATTGTTAAAAGCCCAACCCTTGAAAAGCTCCGGGGGATGCCATTCCCTCAATAAACAGAGTTTCAACTGCATGTTTGGAGATGCAAATTTCTATGTCTATTAATCACATATATATATATATATATATATAAGATAAGATATATATTCAATTTGATTAATTACAAGGGAACAAACTAGTGGGGAGCTATCAATATTATGATTATATGTCCTTGACGCCCTTATGTTCTAATTAAATTTATTAAGTATGAGTTTAGGGCCAAGGGATTTTTATTAATCTTCTGCCATAGGGAACTCTTCAGTAATTCAAAACTTTGGAATTTTGGATGTTGTTCGAGTTGCCCGAGAACAAGAGACAATATAAGGATTCAGGGGGTCCAATTGGTTCAAACCCATTACAAACTTTGGGATATTCTTTAAGGCGAAATCTTCATTTTTTTTTTTTTTTTTTTTTTAAAGTCCTCCTTTATAACTTTCATTGGTCTTAGAAGTTTGTAGTGCAGGAGTGAGAGACTGCCAAATGGATGGCCGTTGTACTTCCACACCAAAGTGGGTCGGTCCTTTAATTTGGACAAGATGATAGTAGGACCCTTTATTACAAACCCGCATATATACATATATACACACGCACTATATATATATATATATATATATATATATATGAGAGAGAGAGATTGAACCCCTTTATGGCATTTGAATGAGCCCACAGGAAATACACCCTGATTGACTCCAAAATAATATAGAGACAAATTATTATTATTAGTCATAAAAACGTGTACAATTTCCACATGCTTACTATTCGTTTCATTAGAGTACTTGTCACTTGGCCCCATTGCAGTTCAGAAAATATGTCTTTTTTCTTTTTGGACGCCCCAAAATCAAGTATATTTGGTGACATATCTACTAACTGTAATTTGGTATTTATAAGCCGTCAAATTTTGTTGTCCAACTTTCGGTGGAATGTTCGACGTGTGTGTGAAGGCTTGGAAATACCATAATTGACTAGCAAGGAATCCATTACAAATTAGAGTGGAAGTGATAAATGGGAATAAAAGGAATAATAGAACCAAAAAAGGAAAAAGGGACAAAGAAAAGAATTAATAGATGGCGAAGAAACTTACATTAAAAGAGAAGAGCGACGTAATTAGAACAAATAAAAGCTATCAAAGGAGTTATTAGCGCCCGTTTAGTTCGTTGATTCGAATTTTTAATTTGAGTTGAGATGTAACTTTTTGTGAAAGTTTTTTACTGTAATAAAAAGTTAGATGTGACTGTTTTTTAAAGCTTTTTATTATAATAAAATTATAATTCGAAATTCGAATCGATAAAATAAACGGGACCTAATAGAATCGTCAATTGTCATGCGTATGAATTATAAACAATATTTTGAAGGTTATTTCTAAATCAACAATCATGTAAACACAAGAAAGGTCCATAATTAGTCGGTCGGACACCGAGTTACCGACTAAACTTTGGAAGACCAAAAAAAAAAAAAAAAATGTTAGGTGTAACATAATGAATCACGCCAACAACCAACGTGGCCACAAATGTCATGCTTTGGCCAATATATATAAAATTAAAAAGGCAAATCGGACTAGTTCAGAGTTGTGGCAAAAATTGTTTTCCCCTTTTCCTTTCAAAATTGACCAAGGAAAGACGTTTCCATCTCTTAATATGAAATGAATTAAAAACATGCATAATCAGATGATCTTTTAAAATATTCCGCTTCCCACGCTGAAAGGGAAAATATATATTTGAAAAGAAAGAACGAACGCGTGACTAAATTTTGTTCAATTTTCTTTTACTTTGTGACTGGAAAATTGGAAATATCTCAAAGTAACGAGTCAGACTAATTAGTTTGTATTAGTCGGTCAAGATAAACCTATGCATTTCGAGGAAAGATCATATGATCTTCCTTTGCTTACGTCATAATTAGTCAATGGCGGAGCCACATAAAAGTGAGGGTTTTTGTGGTTGGAGGATTCAAGTGATTTGAATACAAAGTTTTGATTTAAACCAGTATTTATTTAAAAAATAAAAAATAAAAAATGGTTTGAATTCTTAATTTGATATTTAAACCATATAAAACAAATGATTCTTAAACGAACCTCCCCCTAGGTTCTCATGATTTAAATTTAAACCGAAGGTTTCAACCACACTTTTCAAACCAACATGATTTAAAGTTTAAATCAAAAGATTCAAATCACACTAGTTTAAACTCTCCAACTAAATGAGATGTGTGGCACTGGCCCCACTCACATTTTAAAAATTTGGATTTTTTTTCTTTTTTTATAAAACATAGAGACATACATCCATTTAAAAGAAAAATTATAATTACGTTCCATACTAAATAATTAAAATAAATAACAATATTCTCAATATTCAAGAAAAATTCTCTACTTTTTTTTTTAAGTTACGCGGCTCATAATCATTATATTAGTTAAAAAGAGAAAAAGAAAAGGAGAGATGTTAAAGTAAACAAACTTAGTTTTACTTTAATAAAGCTTGTATTTGATGTTAATTACTTTCGGTAAAACCGATCGAGCAAATCAACTCTTGTACAAACCGATTTTAACTATAAAAACTTCCTCGTCTATCTTATCCTTTGTCTTATTAGATGTACACAGCTAGCTGCATCCAGAAAGTTCCTAAGTAGATCCGATAAGCTTAATGAAAGTGCTATGTGTCATTACTAAATCTACTTACAATCCCATTTAAAGATTTACATCTCTAAATCGCGGCGGGAAAAATAATCCAAAATTCTTGCCAAATGGGATCACGAGTGTAAAGATTTTGATTAGTATCTTTATTATGACTATGTGACACACGTGGATATAGGTCAAAAAGAAGGATGGATATTTCAAAGATTAACTTCTTTAAAGTTTCAGTACGAACATTAATCTTGTCAGTTTAAACTAATCTGAAACCTATGTTTTCCTAAGCTAAGAGGAGAAGCATCTAAACAAAATTTCCTTGTTTTGTTTTGTTCTGTTTTTTTTAAAACTTTTGTCATCTGTGTAAAAACCATTTTTCCATGCTGCTTTATCGATTGTCTACTTCACCGAAAGTAATTATCATAATTGTTTTTTGTAGCGAGGAAAGACAGGATATGAATTGGCGGCAAAGTAGGGTCAAATTTCAGCAGTTATGGTAGTTCACACAAGGAAGTTAATTTCACACTTATCGGTTTGAATTTCGGTTAGTTAATAATTACATATCTACATAGTCAAGGTCACGTATATATATTGATATTATATCATCTCTTGGCCATACCAACATAAAGTTGGTTGTGGTTTAAGGCATAATTAATTATGTAATTATGTTCCAGTGAGGATTAAGGAAATGTCAGTACTAAACTACTACGAAGAATTCTCTATGCTAATATTGAGGTCTAGAATTTGAATTCCTCCACTTCACTAAAAACAAGGTAAATAATATGTAAATTTTGATTAATGACATTTACTTTTGTTTTCTTAGTGGACGTACATTTTATCTTTTTTAAATCATCATGCATATGCAGATCAATTAGTGTCAGTTAATGTTTGTTTAATTTCCAATATGTCGTAAAGCCGAAGTGCAATCTAGCTTTTTTCAATAGATAAGTGAATAAAAACAGGTCCATGGATAGAATATAGATAAAGTGCTTTCACAAGGATCAGTACTAGATAATATATATATATATGTGTGTGTGTGTGTTATACATTATTAATTTTAGATACGCACTGCCCGTCAACATGTTCTTGATCGTGAGCACGCAGCAATGCTGCATGATTTATGCATTCTTCACAAGTACATGTGTTTATTGCACACACTCACATATATAAATATTTAAATATATATGTCGTTTTTTCATTGATATTGTTGAATCCCCAAGTTTCGATCAGCAAAATAAATTAGCAAGTTTTGTAATTTACTTGCATTCTTCAAATCATGTATACTAATAATTATATTTCACATTTTGGACTCTATATATATATATATATATAGAGAGAGAGAGAGAGAGAGAGAGAGAGAGAGAGTTTATATTGTAACTATCTAGGCCAGTCAAGCTATTACGGCTACTTCAGCGCTTCGTGCGTGAAGCATGCAAATCATGTGAGTGATAAAAATGGTTCGTAATAGTGTAACTGATATGATCATTATCCACAAGGAAAAAAAAAACAGTTGATGTTACATTATGTGTTATTTTGAGAGGATATATACGGCATGATCTTCCTACTGGTTTTTGCGTGCGTGGATACTCATATGAAAGTTAAAGGTCTGTTTAGCATTGCTTTTAGAGGTTGTTTTTAATTTTTTAAAAGAAGTTACAAAAAATTAGGGTGTTTGGTAAATCTTACTTATAATTGTTTTTGTCCAACAGCTTTTAAAAACTACTGTAGAAAATTAAAATTTGAGAAGCAAGTCAGGAGTTGTTTTTGCACAGTCACTTATGTTGTCACTGTCTAACTTCACTACAACAATTATGCCCATTTGCGACAACATTTTTTACGAGGACATT